GGTAAAGAAAGAAGTCATTGGGGGCCAGATCAGGTGAGTAGGGAGGGTGTTCCAATACAGTTATTTGTTTACTGGCTAAAACTCCCTTTGCTTTTGTTTATCAGTGAGCTCCATGCGGGACCATTTTTGCACACACCTGTCTCATGCCCAGATTTTCAGTTAAGATTTTCCTAACTGTTTCTCTATCGATATTTACTTGGTCTGCTATGCTTTTCACAGTCAGCCGATGATTTTGACGCACAATTCGAAGAATTTTTGCAATGTTTTCGTCAGTTCTGCTCATTACTAGCCGCCCTGACCTCTCTTCATCAGTGATGTGTTCTCTCCCCTCAGAACGTTTAATCCGTTTGTACACTGCCGTTTTCTTCATGGCATTATCCCCATAATATTTTTCCATACTTCAGATTACTTCTTCACATACATCTTATAAATAAAACCACTAGGTTATCAGCCATGAATATATTAAAAGCTTTTAAATTAAATTCAGTCAACTTTTAAAAAATGTATTATCAATTTATATTTCCACCAGCAGTGGATCAGGTCATTCATCTTACTGCCCCATAGCAGTTTTCAGTTTTATTATAATTGAAGGCTACTGATTTGATGAATTAAGTCAGTACTTCATTGTTGACTATACTCACCAGCACTTTAATTATATTTATATATATTTAAATATAACTAAATATATTTAATTATAGTTGACATACAATATTATACAACATCAGCTTCAATGCAGTGATCAAGCCTCTACCCCATCCATGAAGCGGTCTCCCTAACGACATGTGACCACCTGACACCTTACAAAATATTTACAACATTATTAATTATATTCCTTGAACTGCCTTTCATGTCCCTGTGGCAATATTGTAGTTACGTATTTATGCTGTCTAATCCCTTCCCCTTCTCCCTCATCTCCACCCCCCTCCCAACTAGAAGCCATCAGTTGTTCCTCTGTATCTCTGAGACATCTGTTTACTTTGCTCGTTCATTCAGTTTTTTAGATTCCATATATAAGTGAGATCATATGGTATTTGACTTTCTCCGACTGACTTATTTCACTTAACATAATAGTCTCTAGGTCCATCCATATCGTTGCAAATGGTACGATTTCATTCTTCTTTATAGTGAAGTAATACTCCATTGTGTAAATGTACCACCGTTTCCTAATCCAGTCGTCTACCGATGGGCATTTTGGTTGATTCCAAATCTATTGTAAATAGCACTGCAATAAACATAGGGATACATATATTTTTTCGAATTAGCGTCTTGGGTTTCTCTGGATAGATACCCAAGAGTGGAATTGCTGGGTCATACGGCAGTTCCATTTCCAGTTTTTTGAGATACCTCCACACTGATTTCCATAATGGCTGCACCAATCTGCAGTCCCACCAACAGTGCACCAGGGTTCCCTTTTCTCCACAACCTCGCCAGCACTTGTTGTTTGTTG